TCAAGCGCCGTCGTATTCGCCCAATCTCGCTCTGTCAGCTGCCAGAACCCGGTCACCGCCGGTGCCCAAGTTTTCTGGGTCTCGGACCCCGGACCTCTCCTGATCGACCGAACTGTTGGTTTGCTTGTTCTGGCGATCGCCCGGTTGACCTTATGAGCCACGATAACCGCGAGAACCACGGGACCACTTGACGACAAACAGACGATATTATTGTTGCTCGTCCGAACTTCGACCGAACCCCCTTAAATTGCCTTAATGAACACGGGAATTGAATTTTCATAAGCTGGCCTCATCGATTTGGCTCGTTAATCAAGTTTGTAAGCCCCAATCCGGCTCTGAGTAGGCATTTCTTATCGATTAGCTCATTAACGTCCAACTTAACAGTGGTTCCTTGAGTCACGCACAGCACCGGCCCCCGAGTCGTCTTGCATCTCTTGACTCAAAACGGAGTCCGTCAAAGGCGTTGTTTTTCGTGACTCTGTAACTTATCTCGCTTTGCCTCCCCGAACATTATAATGGTTTTATTCTCCACCTCACTGCTTTGGTCCCGCTTCCTCCTCATGCCTCTGTTGACTCAAGATTTACGTTGTTTCAGAGATCTCAAACTGCCCGTTTCGTCCATTGCAGCGTCAAAGAAGTCTGCAAGCCGTCACTGGCTATCGAAAGGACATAAAAGGGATGACCGTCGGAATTGTTTGTCGCCGCAGCCGTCGTTCGACGAAATGACTCATCAATATCCGACCAACTTCTACCGTATAATCCGCGATTCACCTCCACCGGTTCCGCCGGCGCTGTTCAGAGTCCTTTCGTTCCCGAACGTCCGCTGGGACTCGTCGAAAAAGGTAAGCGTTGAAGCAGATGGATGTGCATTTGTGCCAAACGTACACTTGCTTCTTGCCATCACAGCTGATGCTTAGATTTGACGTTGGTCAACGATCTTTGCGGGCTGTGGACTGTTTGGTCGTTTCCCTTTGCTGTATTTTGATACCCTTCTTCCAGATTCATCCAAATTTAAATTTATCACTGATCCTGCGTCCCCCCTCCTCTACAGCAAAACGCAAACTAAAGCAATAACTTCCAGTGTATCGTCCAGAAACATTTGTTTCATGTTGTGCTGTTAATCCATGCGCTATGCGTATTAATGCGTGCAGTCTGGTCGATGCCGTTGTTCGGATTGCCTGACGAAGC